ATCGGTACTGGCCAGGCCAATGTAACCGACGCTTCGAGGCTGCAGAATGACCGGGAAGGCGGTGAAGCACTCTCGCTGGACAAACGGGGCAAAAACGGTGGTCCACATTTGGTCGGTGAGGCCGACGACTTTGCGGAATTTGTGGCCGTCGTCTAAACAAAAAAAATTAGTTAGCTTTTAAAAAAATGGAAGTTTTTTCTTTATTACCTGAACTCAAACAACCCGAGAGAAAGAAGATCTGAAAGTCGGGCAGCCCTGGAACTGACTGATTTGCGTAGCTGGTCCGTATAAAACCCGTAGCATCCAGACCACCATTGCTTGAAATGGGTCCCCTTCCCAAAAGGCCATTCAGCAGCAGATTAGGCCCGGTGTGAACGCGGGACTGAATGTGCGTCCAAAACTCGCCTTTGGGCCTTTCTGCCTCTGCGACAAAGTTCAGCCCAAACATCATCTGATGGTCTTGAAGATTCCGGCCCACCGGAAGGTCCGCCAGGACGGGAATTCCAAAGCGTTCCAGCTCCCGTCTTGGCCCGATTCCGGAAAGCATCAGCAGATGGGGCGACTTGATGGCGCCCGCAGAGATGATCACTTCCTTGTGGGCGTAGACGTTATGTCGTTCTCCAAAACGGTCAAAGGTGACGCCGGTGGCTTCGGGAACGCCCCCCTTCCCATAATTCCCATTCTTAAAAAGAATCCTCGTCACAAAGGCGTAGGTCAGCACATGAAGATTATCTCTCCCTCGAATGCTGTTCAGGTAGGCCTTTGCGGCGGAACACCGCCCACCTCGCCTCATCGTCGACTGCGGTATGGCAAAGCCGAGCTGCGAGGCGCCGTTAAAGTCCAGCACGCGGTGACCCAGCTGTTGAACTGACAGGAGGAAGGCCTTGGCCAGCTGGCCAATCCAGGTGGACCGTTGGACCGTCAGAGGACCTCCTCGCCCGTGGAAGCCGTTGAAGGCAATGTCTGGGTCCCGGTTATCTTCCGCTTTCATAAAGTACGGCAGAACTTCCTCGTAGGACCAGCCGAGGGCGCCGTGATTGAGTGCCCAGTTGTCAAAGTCGAAGCGGTTTCCGCGGACGTAGAGCATGTAGTTGATGGTGGAGGTGCCGCCGAGGACCTTCCCTCTGGGCCAGGCCATTCTCCGGTCCACCAGGCCGAAGCAGGAGTGCTTTTGGGGCGTGGTGCGGAACTGCCAGTCGATGGGCGTCTGCTGGAGCATGAAGATCGACTGGGGGTTGTCGGTGACGACGTTCTCCGAGCCGCCTGCTTCGAGGAGGAGGACTTTGTGGTGGGAGTTTTCGGAGAGGCGGTTGGCGAGGACGCAACCGGCGGCCCCCGCCCCCACGATGATGTAGTCGTAGGTCTGGTGAACGG